GGAAACCACCGCCGGTTTTCGATTTCGAGTGTAGGGTTGTGGCGCCTACGCTTCCTTCTTGATATTGTTGAGGTTGAGTTTGAGTTTGAGTTTGTGAGGAGGGGAAATTTGGAGAGTTGGTTGGGTTTGAGGGGTTTTGGGGGGTGGAGAATTGGGTATTAGGGGGTAGAGAAGAAGGGGGAAAGTGAGAGGATATCTGATTGCGTGACTAGTAGTTAATGTTGGGCTGGTCATGGATATGATGATTACGATGATAATGATAACGACGATAACGATTTCAAGAGAGACTCAAATTAGTAAAAACTATCCGGTCTGGTTCATCTAGAATGGTTTGATTCGGTTTGTGTTTTTGGGTAAGCGGAGGAAAGGAAATGCACGGAAAGGAAAGGTACGGAATGCAATACAGATGGAAAAAAGAATCCTCAGACTAATAAGGAAATGGACGAATGAATGGATATACGAGGTAAGATTAATACAATTATGAGAAATGCAGCTGGTTATGGAGGAGCGAGTAGCGGGAGGGAGGGAAAAGGACGGGATGTGGCGGAAATTTTACATTAGGTGATGGTATTGGGCATATCATTGCATTACATTGCATAGGTTATGATATTATACGCGGATGGAGTTTAGATTTAACTACTAGGTACATGTATGGTTGGTGAGGTGCATATAGGGTTGGTTATTGGAATACTGGAATACAGGAATGCTGGAATGATGGATATCATATCATAGGATAGCAGAGGATACGATAGAATATCATAAGATAGGGGCTTAGAAGGGATGAGTTTGGGTATTGCAATTGTACATACATACATACATACTTGCGCTGTAATTTTACATGAGATGTTATATCTGCGTTGAATAGGAATGGGGATGAGAATAGGAATGAATAAATATTAAAAAAAAGAAGAAGCTGAAGGAAGTGAAAGAGCTGAAGGAGAGGGAACGAAGGAGGGAAGAATGAAAATAGTGTGTATGTGTGTATATATGACTGATGCTATTATAGAATGTAGATGAAGATAATATAGGGGAGAAACGGTAATTTATAGACAAGATAGGAAGAAAATAATGAGTATGTAGATAGTAAGAATAGTTGGGAATGATGATGGTATATCTAATTATTTATTATATACTATCTACCTGTTACTGATTCGAAGCCCTCAAATGAGGTGATAAATTGGGGAGGGAATGAGCAATTCCTATATATGTCATCTATTCGAATCAATATTGAATTTCATGGATACCCTGGATGTACCGAAGTCTTATGTAGGATTGCTTCAGTCCAGCCCGA